CAGTTACCTTTCTACAAGGTCAGACAACCTCTTAAAAATGTTCTTATTCATCAAAGAAACAGACCTTTTTTATCCAAGTGGCTCATTCATTTCAGTGAATACAGGGCAGCAATTTCCAGTTAATAACGCAACCTTTAATCACCTTCCCTCCAGCTAAGATCCTTGTTTAGCCTTCAGCAAAATGAATTCAGCAGCATTCATCATTATTTATCACAATAAGGAGTAACATATATTGCCACATATATTTACCACATTTACGATACAGCTGAATTAAGAGTTTGTAAATTTAGTTTCTGAACTCCTTTCACTTTTCCATTTATATATTAATATATATGAATTAAACAGACATTAATATAAAAACAAATATTATGCAATTTTTGTAAATATCAATTAGTATTTATACCAATTTAATCTTTCATTTTTCTTTTAGTGAAGACAAAAGCAGCAAAAGGGGAAAAAGGAAGTGCAAAAAAAGAAGCAAGAAAATGTGTAAAATTACCACTTATTTACTTTGAATAAGCACATTTCAATAAAATAAATGAAGTAAATTCAGGAAGCACCAGACACTTCAATGCTAAATTTTCCAGTACACAAGGAAAAAAAAAAAACCACTAAAAGATGCAGGGAAATAGCTAAGTTACTAGCTAAATCATGAGAACTTTCTGATTTTCATGTCTTTATTCTTCTTTATAGTTGTGTACATAACTTGTAAGTACAATCACGCCACTTGCATGCACAAACCAGATACCGTGCACCTAACTCAAATGTTACAATGGCCACGTTGACATTATTGTTAAAGTCATTATGCTTAAAATGCTTAACTTGCAAACCAATTTGTAAATAGCATTTCTTTAAAGCTATGAAGTTTTGTAATGTTTAGAAGTTGGGAATAGTGATCTAGATTTCTGTCTTTTGCCTTTCTTTAAGTTTCAGTTAGCCTTCAGTTATGGCAAACCATAGCTGTACATCTCACCAAAACAAGAGCATGTACTCATTGCCATGTTGTTGAGGCCAAATGTAAAATAGTGAAAAGCTCTGCAAGAAATATCTGTGGAGTTTGATTCTCTGATTTTTGTGTAGCACACTGACCTACCACTTACAAAATAATCGGTGTAATTTAAATGTAAATAGCATACATTGTGTGCCTGGACAATTCTGTTTAGCATAGCTAACCTTATTTTTTCTATCTAGAAGAGCTAGATGTAACACTGTATCTATTTACAATGGCTTTTATTTTCAGACAGAAAAAGTATCAAAAATAAGATAAAGGAAGTAATCATTGTAGTGTTAATGTGCATGAAATGTGGATATTTAATGTATAAAATAAATAAATTTTTTTCTTTATTAAAATCAGAAAGCCATTCTGAACTGGAATTCGCTATTCCTTTTGAACAGTAACATTGCTCCATCTTTTCTTTTTCACCCTCATGTACACCACAGCATAGGCGATACCTAGTGACCTTGCCAGGAGTCCAAGAGAGCAGGCAGCACAGGTTGTGCGTGCCACATCCCACTAACCCCAACTGGCATATTTTGATCCATTCCCAGACAGGGCAAAGGAAAACAGTCCTTAAACTTCAAAACTGACATACTTTATACAGAAAGCCAAAAAACCCGTTAGCATAGATTCTATGAAAGAGGCCAAAATAGTCAAAATGACACTCGAGGAATAAAAGTTTGTTCTTAGCAAATGCAGTGTTAAAGATATTCCCTCTAATACTTTGTGCACACAAGCCTCCACATGCAAAAATTTGTGCCTGTGTTTATCAGGTAATAACTTCTGTAGATAGGTTGTGTTGTCAGACAAGTTTAAGCAGTCAAACCTCACCATTCCACATTGGAATTAAAAATAAGCACAACATCTAGTTCTGACTAAATCCAATTCCTGTAACAGAGTTTCTGAGAAAAGCAAAACTGAATGTAGAAGAGATTTCTTCTTAATATAATTGTCATGAAATTAAGTAAAAAGCCTAAACATACATAAAATGGAAAAGAAGTCTGCTGACTTCTGAAAATTTCCTCATCAGAGTGGGGCATATAATGATTATATAAGCCTTAGTTTAATCGGTGTAAACGGACACTTGGAGCATAGCCAGTAGCATCCCTGGTTACGTTTCTTCTCTTTCTCCCTCATAATTATTCAGTGAAGAAATATAACCAAAATATTTCTAGATCATGCACAAACTTCAATATATGGCTATGTGATCCCAGAACAATCATATGTACATCTTTCAAAGACAGGATTTCTTTCTAGAAAAATCAGATTAAATTCAATGCATATTTAGCATTTATTTCATATTTCATATCTTAAAAGTGAGGATGACTGAGGCAGTTTATTATATCTGGTAAAAGATGTTTATGAAACCTTTCTGAATAAGTAAAATGGAAATAAAAATGCAAGTTTTCATCCTCTGTAACTGTAGGATGTTATTATGGATCCATAACTACTGCTGTACTATAACTGCCAATTACGCATTATGAAATATATATATATATCTAAATAACCTGAGAACACATTCTCCTTTATGAATTTCTCTATGCAGACCTGTAGTAATAGATAGCAATAATCTCCATAAACATGTTGCTTGATTAAATATTTACCATTGAAATCAAATACTCTGCCAGTTCATAATGATCAAACAATGCTGTCCTGTGGGGAAAATGCAAAAATACAGTAACATTAGAAAGGACAATGAAGTTTCAAGCCAAAGGGTAGCATTTTTCTCCATTTGCTGCATTTTCTAGTATTTTCAAATAAATACATTTTAAAATAAAGAGACAGAGAGATACCTTTATTACATAATTCATTTTAATAAATTGTTTCCATTTTTGTCATGGAGTTTTTTTTTTTTAAACTAAGTTCAGTTCAATTAATACATTGAACACTCACTGCAGGAAACAAAGGCCTCATTGATAGGTCAACAGGCATTATACCACTGATTTTTAACAGAACCAGTCATTTCATATGTCAGATCTTTTGCTGTACCACACAAGGTCAATATAGAATTCCAAAAACTTGAGACTCAGTTTGTTCCAGCCAAACCTAAAGCCTCAAATCCATTTCATTGATCCGATCTTCAAAAGTAACTTGATATATTTTGTGTAATAATGCTAAAGGGGGGTTAAAATGGCAATGACTTAACTAAACATCTATTCTGACTGTGGCAGGCAAGTCTACTTGAAAAAGTATGAAAAAATATATTATACTGATATAAATTGTGATGACATTTATTAATTTTCTAAAAATATTTTAAAGCTGTCTATACACATGAAAAATTCTCAGGTTTTATTCTACAATAAGACATTGAATTACATAGGAAAAAAAACGGTCAAAGCAGGAAGCATAGCACAGTTAATACACACACTCTAAATGTTTTCAGAAGTCAGACCCCTATCAAATATTTTGACTCAATGAGCAACACAGAAGGACAGTTCCAAGGTGGTACTGTATCTCAAAGATAACAGTTCCCTTAGCATTTTAAGAGGTAATAACACAGGGTGTACTATAATTAGAACTGATTACTCAAAAGACCTATTTTTAAAATCATGTCATTGTTCCAAATAAGTATTATCTATAGCAGATCCCTCCAGCCAGGCATAAATACTGAATGCTCCACACACACTCAAAATAAATTCCAAGGTGCCTGAAGAGAGAGCAAAGTCATTTTATAAAATTTTTAGATGGAAACATGACAGAGGGAATGTGAATGAATCAAGTCCTGCCTATGCTTCACTGCTCCTTCACTTCTCAACAAGTTAACGTTCCTATTCAGTTTATTTATATTCTGAGAGATTTGGGTGATTTTCTACCTTTCTGATGATTTTGATAATTTTTTTTTTCCTGTTTTCACAGTCACGGGGAGTAAAAGAGTGTCATTCTTTTTCCAAGCTTTTTCCAAGGACAGTAATCTTTATGGACATGACAGCCAGTTATCTATTAAGTAGTATGTTGTGTCTGAACAATTTTCTTTGGCGTTCTGTCATCACTTTGTCTTCAATAGTGTTCTCTCGCAGTAGCATTTCCAAGTGTACCCAAACCTTATCTTAACTTTACAACACACTGCCCTTTTAATTTCTTCAATTATGTTCGAATCATTCCACTTTATACTGTGTCCAAAGAACAATCATCTCTACTATCTCTGACTTTCTACCAATTATTTCATACTGTAAAACTCCTTGTAGAATGACACTGTAAAATTATTACACTTAAATGCAGTGAGACATATCCTTCTTGCAAAAATGTATAGATGGGGAAATATACTATCTTCCATAGAGCTGGGAGCCAGCACATTTAACCAAGCGTCTTTCTGCTACAGAAGACTGAGGAAATTTCTCCACAGTCTGGTGCTCTGGTTTCAAATGGACTGTAAAAGACTAGAAGTCTAGAGGATTATTACATACACAAATGCCATCTGCAACTTTGTCGTCATAGGAAAGTGTACCAACATCTACTTGCAGCTGATCAGGTATAAGATAATTTTTTAGGGGAAAAAAAAAGAAATTTTTTTTTTAAACTATTTATATTTTTTTCATTCATTTTCTGGAGAACATAACCCCGTTAGATGAGGGCATTTGTTCCACAACCTCAGAAGCTGTTAACAATTCCATAAACTTGTTCACCACTACTTTACTGAAGTAAATTTTCAATACAAACTGTTAGTGACCATTCCTTTACATGGTTCCAAGGTAACTGGAACTGTTTTGATTTTGATATCAGCACCAAAATCTTTAACATTCTGACCAAATTACTGACTCTCCCATACTGTACTAAAACCATCCCCCATCCCATGGAGAAGTTCCAACCCATGTGGAAGGATATTCCAAAGTATGCTATATAAAGTATAATTGGATGCTGAGAATAACTAAGAATATCATGGCTCACAATTTATAGTGAAGTCTGGCAGAGCAGCCTCCTACCTGTGAAGCAATGTTTCCTTATTCCCATCTACAGCATCAATAATGGATTCCTCACCAGCATAGGATGACATCATTAACTTTACAATCTCAGTTGCTCCTTGAGTGGCAGCAAAATGAAGTGCTGTGCATTTTTCATTCTGTCAATGGGAAAATAAAACAACACTTAAATATTTAAACCCCAACAACTTAACCTCCAACCTGTTAAACACACTAGTGATCTAGCCCAGGATTCATAATTCCTAAATGCCTAAATTTCTATGCAAGTAATGAAACTTTAGTCTTTAACAACAGTAGTGAAACTCTAAAGAGATCTTAAAGACCAGAAAAGACTAAAGAGATAGTTTTAAAGGATCGCCACAAAGCTTCTTATTCTATGCCAAGTCCCTAAAATATGAGATAAATACACTCAGTAATCTTTTATAGTTGAATTAATAAACACACACAGACCACCCTTTAATACAAGAGATGAAGCAAAGGAAAACTACAGAAAACCATAGGTAGACAGTACAAATGAATAAGCAAACAAATGTGCCTGTATAATACAGAAAATGCATTATTTTAAAATGTTTTTGACTTCCTTAAATGGAATCTTCCTTAGATGTCATTCTGAAATAAAATTTTCTGCAGGTTAAAAATAACTTGGTGTAATATGTTATTAAATTATTATAAGCTAGACAGTCATAAAATTTTTAAGCAATAAATAAATAATTAGAACAAGATTTACCAAAACAGGATTTCATTTAGCTAGATGGGACAAACTAGCTTTGATACACGCCTGAGGGTTTTGACTTTCTGCTTTTTAGAACAGGAACATTTCAGTGAATGCATTGGAATGGGCTTTTCCACAATGCCATAAGCATTCTCAAAACAGTCTTACCCATCACAAAATCAGCAGCATAAATCACCTCATTCAAAAGCTGTGTGTTCAAAGAACCAAACCAATAAAAGAAGGCTAAACCATGTTTATCTTTGCTCTCATGAGTTGATCTGAGCCTTGCAAACAATTTGATTAATGATAGATATCTTCAGAAATGTTTATTCATCATGAAGCTGGGCACAGGACCTTACACCAACAGTATCATGGTAGCAGCAGTACTATCACAAATTTGTGCTTGCTTACAAAGAATATACTGTAACGGCCAGGGCAAGGCTGAGGATAAACGAGAATGATGAGAAAGGGTCAGATCAAGAATCCCATTTCTGAGAACCGTCGATAGCAGGTGCATAGTAAAGAGTTTGTGGAGAAGGACGTACCATTCTCCAGAGTACTCTCCCAGACTCCATCTGTTTATGACTCAAGGACTTCCTGAGCCAGAGGGGATGTCATTGTATTCAGTAGTTGAGGACTGATTTTTCTTCTACGGATCTGCCCAAATGCATTTTGAATCCATGCAAACTTTTCATAGCCACAATCTCCTATGTAACTTGTGTAAAGAAACCTGCCATTTTGCCTGATTTGAACTAGAGACTTGTTTTCATTTGTTGCTCCCTAGGTTTTGCATTGGAAGAGACAATGAGCAATGATTATCTGCTCATCTTTTTTTTGTACCACTTAGAGATTTAGAAATATATAGGTTTTATCAAAATAATATTTCATTCCATTTGAAGTTTTACCTGTTTTAGATCAATTTGGGCTCCAAATTCAATGCACATTTTAATCATTTCAAGGTCCCCACTTTGAACTGCCAAATGAAGTGGACTGCACTTTCCATTATTGGTAAAATTGATGTGGGTTTTAGCAGAGTGACCCAATTCTTCACCTGGGAAATGAAAATGGAAATTTTTTATGCGAGAAAGATAACAGAAGCTACCAAGGCTTTCAAAACAAATATATTAACTGTGGAATAATATTCTCCCCCTAAAAATATGAACCTTTCACATCTATCATTAAACAATGGATGGGCACACATTTAGGAAAGCAGTTAAGCTGCTGCTGCAATCCTACAAAAGTTACTAGCATGAATTGCCCATAGGAATAATTGCATTAACTTCTTGTAAGTTCAATCACAGTTGTAAGAGCTTGTTTGCACAGTTCTTTGAGAATTAAAGCAGTAAATTGGTAACGCTACTATAAATAATAAACCCTACTGACTTCTTGGGAACAATGTATTTACCTTTTTTTAAAAGAATTTCCATACATGTTTTTGCACCTGAAAATGCAGCTGCATGGACAGGCATACATCCCGTTTTGTTGGGTTTACATATTTTCCCTCCATTTTCAATCTGAAAAATAATGTCTGGATATAGCTTAATGACATACAGAAAATTCTGACTAATGAACATACTATTACAGGTATTGTCTCCTGGGCAGCTGTCTCCTTTTTTTATGCTTATATGCATTGTGAAGTTTATATACAAACATCTTTTGCATGTTGTATCCATACATCTACACATACATGTGCTTCATTTTGTGTTCTGATGACCTTCAAAATTAGTTTAAGTTTTTTCTGTTTGCCACTCAGATATATTTATATATGCTCTTAAAAGATGAAAGTTTGTTAGTAACTTATGCAAAGTAATTTGAATATTAGGTCCACGATTAATCCTCCTCCAGTGAACAAAGACAGAACACAGGAACAGAATAACACTGCATCAAGGTAAACAGAATCACATCAAAAGATGATAGATAATTATACCTACCAGGAGTGTCAGTGCTTCAGGATTATCCTTGTAACATGCTACAATTATAGGTGTGTTCCCTGCTTCACCTTCCAAATTAACATCTGTACTGCTATGCTGGACTAAAATCTAAATGTTTAAGAAAACATTCAGTCAACCATAAGCCAAATACAACAACAAAGGCCTATTCCATTACTTTTGTAGTTTATCACCCATAGCACTCTTGCGACTTATTCTTTTTTCATGCCAACAGCCCACAATGCATAGGCAGAGGAGGGACAAAATGAGGGAGAATGTAAAAATACGTGGGTGAAAAATGCAGGTGAGAACAGACAAAGAAAAGTAAAATTCTTTACAGCAAACAGCTGGGTAACTAGGATAAACACTGCACATAGCTGCAGAGTATCTTAAAGTTTTAGTTAACAATTTCCCCAACACTGGGAGAAAAACTTTTCTGCAGCAGATTGCAGATGCGGATTTTCAACTGAAGTTTTTTATAGTGTCTTGTAATATTCTGTATTCCCTGGAAAGTTGCAATGCTGTAGATGCTGCTCGATTAGGCACCGATTGGACAGTTATATAAGATCAAGGAAGACGGGACTTGATGAAAATAGGGACCCTTCCATCCTGAATTCCTGCTTCAGTCCCTACGTTAACAGCTAACACTGAGCTATCAGTGTCACCAAGTACCTCTATGACTGCTTCCAGCATTTTTTGAGAAGCAAAGGATCTAGAAATGATAATGACCATACTGCACCACATATTTATTCCTCTATCTACATATTTATTTGTCTTTCAGTAATTCCAATGAATTTTTCTGTACTGGAGGAACTGGCACATTTTAATCACTCTCAGGCAATTTGACAATAGAAACCAAAGGAGAATTGAATAAACAATGAATAAACATGAATAAACAATGAATAAACAACAGAGTGGGGAAAAAATGAGAGCACATATTTAGTCAAGAGCAGAGCTGTAGAATAACCCAAACCCACAACTTGATACAACGCCTATTTTAAAAATGTTATTGTACTTCAAATTTTATTAATTCATAATAAATACAGATTTTGTAAAAGATGTGAGGACACTGAAATATTTTAGCACTGAAAATGTCTAAAGGATTTTAAGTCTTGAAAACAGGAATATGTTTTTCTTTTATTTGGATGAACTAGAAAAAGAGACAATTTTAAAGGGAAAAAGCAAGTGATGTGGTGTTAAGGTTGTATTCACCCAGTAAATTCAAAAACTTTATAAATTTTTAAAATTCTATCCAAATACTGCATATGGAGTGAAAACATTCTCATTGCACTTGGACAAATGATGAAAAAATTATGCTGCTTAAAATCTCAGAGCTGTTGCTATTTTACAAGGTTCAAAATGGACACCTTAGTAATTTCTTCACAATATATTTTTGTGATCTTTAATTGCAGCTTTAGTTCTGCTATTATTCAAATGATTATTACAATTTTCGTTTTAAGACCTGTGTTTTCTGACTAATTTTAATCTGGGTTTCATAAAAGAAAATACACCAGTTTCAAGAAAATTTTATACTTCTATGAGTCCCTATACAATTGTAAAAAAAAAAAAAAGATCAGAACATAAACATTTAAAATAACACATGCCTACATGAAATCTTAGTTAAAAAGAACTTTCAAAGAAAATTCCTTGTGTTTGGAAAATTTAAAATAATTCTCCATAAAACGTAACAACTACTTTCATAGCACAAATATCAATATTTATGTAAATCAGTAAGCTACTTTTTACTTGCTGTGCTAAGAAGACACAAACATTCTATAAGCATCATATGTTACACATCCTGCTCGCTAAAAAAAGCATATGAGGAGATACATATAAACATAAACATATATAAACAAGGTCTTGGTGTTTTGCATGCAGTTGCTGTTGCGCTACTTAACAAGTCTGTATATTTATGTGGACTTTAGACTTACCTTAACGATTTCATTATGCAGGGACTGCACGGCCATGTGCAAAGGTGCCATCATATTGGAGTTGAGAATGTTTGGATTGGCTCCTCTGCTGAGAAGCAAACTAACACTTTCAACCTGGTTTTTCTTTGTGGCCCAGTGCAGTGGAGTATTTCCAGAAGAATCCATCACATTTAATACTGTCAAAGGAGAGAAACCAAAACAAAACCAAAACCAAAGCAAAACAATCAAATGTTCTGATCACACTGGAAAAAAAAAAGGGTCTGCAAAGGAGGTTTAGGTCTGTGCTACTGCATTTCTTTGAAGAGAAAAAGGAAAAGACTGCATGTCAGGCAGTGCATTGCGTTAAATTGATTAAATATTGTGCTGAATACACGGTATTGGTTAGAGAGATGGGAGGGGTGAAACGCCTGTCTATTTCTTGCCCATTATTATATATCTTTTTTCTCCCCCCAAGAGTTACTTGATTTCCCCCTTTCCTTGTCTCTTCTCTTTCCTATCTTATTTGACTTTGCAGCTATTTCTTTAGAGGCTGCACAGAACAAGTGAATGTGAATAAGTAAAATAAGAGAGAATAAACAAGTGCTTGCAAATTGTACGAAGATTAAAGACCATATCTATTGTGATTCACTTAAGAACACAGAAGTAAATCAATTCATGCCAGTTATAAAACTGGTCTGTTCAACACATATTTTGAGCTTCAAAATTGTAAATAAACTTCAACAAATATTCTAAAAAGTTAAGACAAAAATTATATGCTGAAAAGAAAAAGAATATATTTCAGCCAGAATAATCTAAAATTAGATAGCCCAACACAGAGTGTTTTTCCATCATTCAAGTCCCCATGTTCTCCTACTTACCACTTCTTCCCTAAATTTCTTTAGATGGCCTATCTCATCAAATGTTTATTCTTCCCCACTATTAAGTAAACAAGTTGAATGACAACTCAAATGACAAGTATAAGAAGCCAAATTAATTGTCTTTTACATTTCCAGTATTATAAACGTAACAAAAGACACATAACATAAATAAGGAAGACAAAAAGTCAGGCCTACTGTACTTCACTGCAGTTTTCTTTTTCATATCTGAAGACTGTAAATCTGAGTCCCCAAAATAAGATATATCAATTTACTGCATTAGAGAGAAAACAGTCCTAACATAACAAGGGTGACCCAAACCACACCCAAGACACTGGAAATTGGCAGACAGTTTGAACTATATTTAAATCTATAAATGTAGATAACACATACCAGTTCTGTGTTTCAGTGGGGTAACAAACACTTTGATTATTGAACTTTTTCATTCTGTTAAATAAAATGTGTGTTACCTTCACAGGAAGAATCGTCTATTATCAGCTGCATTAATTCTATTTGACCTCCTTCTGCAGCATGATGCAGTGGGGTGGCATTTAGTTCATCCACTTTGGTAAGCCCAGAACGATTCTTTTTAATGAAGCTCCGTAGCCTACAGGCACTTCCATCTGAAATCACCTATTTTGGACACAAATTTTGTCATTTTATCATTTTCCTAATAGGCAAGATATTAGCAATGCTATAATGAGTTACTATGGGCGTGTTACCACTCAGTAATTCTCTCCCAACTGTTTAGTTTTGTACAGAAGTACACACATCCTGATCAGATTGAGTCAACAAATTTGATTGATTGCAAAACCAGACCCAGATGAGAAACAGTGCAAAATCAACAAAAATGGAAATTATCTTGAATACATTATTTTCTCTTCTGTAGTGAGCTCAAGATCCTCCCTCCACCATGAAAAACAAAAAACAAGCAAATTCATCACTTACTGTTTTATACTCTCTTCAGCTGTGGCCACACCAAATGAATTCAACAGAGAGGAAAAATTAATAATCTTGATAAATTCCTTTTCTAGATCTTTCTACAGAGACCGATATTACGTCCTGGGCTTTCAAGTTCAGCCATTGGGTTTCTCTGATGTTCTTTACATCAGAGCAACCAATAAATTCTTTATTCTCAGTCTGAAACAACCCAGCATCTTCACAGTGTAATACAATAAAAACCTGCCCCGACAGCTCAGCCCTCTGACACCTTGATACCTCCCTGGTACTGTGGTTTAGCAACCAAAGCCCTCTACGGAAACCCTCCTGATTTTTACGTTATGGTGTTCTCCAAATATTTTTGTTAGAGTGTTTCAAAACCCATACTTGTATATGAAGACAAGTGATAGAAAAAAATGATTGCAGTAGAACGGGCAGGAATTTAAAAACAAGTTATTAAAAAATTAAAAGGCAATAAAAAGAAAAACAATTCAACAAAATTGGGAGGGGAAAAAAAAAGAGAAAAATGCATATCAAAAGTAATGCAAACCTTCCCAAAGATGTGTAAACAAGCAAAGGGCAAAAAAAGGAAATCCCTTAAAATCACTGTTCCCTTTTCAGCTGCAAAAGAAAAGGAAAATTTTGCTCTCCAGGATCCCCTGAGCCACAAAGACTCAACAATTTTTGCTGTTATTAAGCAAACATACATTACGGGGCAGCCCATTCATACACTTAAGCATGTGTTTAACTTCCTTTAGCTTAATAGTCCCATTGACCTCAGTGAGGTTAGTCATCTGAATAATGTTACAATCGTGTTTAAAGATTTAGAAGACTGGGGCCAAATACAGGGGTAGCATCTGCTTCAAAAGTGCAATTAGAAAAAGCTAATAGAAAACAGGTGATATCATTGTGGAAAGGGTATTTAAGATGACTCAACTGCCACAACAATAAGAGGTCAATTCCATACACAAATATCTATCCATTTTATACACATCAAAAAGCTATTTAAGAAAACCTTATTATAGAGCCCATTACCTTCTATTCCTTCTAATATTCTAACTTAATTTTAATTGTAATGAATTTCAAACCTTTCGATTGATTTAGACCACATTTTGCCTCTCTTTATATTGAAATTTTTTGTCAATGTAAGACAAAATGTGGCTGAAATGTGGCATGATGATAATTTCTACCAACAAAAGTAAGATTTTTCAGCCAATACTGCAGTGTTTTATTAACAAAATAGGAAAGGAAGAAATCAGTTAGGTGTTCTCAGTACTTTGGTTGGTTCAAAACGGCAAAGCAAGCAGCTCCTTTGCACTTTGAACAGCTCTGTAGCGGCACCCACCAGAGTGACAAGCTGTGTTACACTGAAGAGGTGTTGCTCAGGACTACAGCTAGCACACACAAAACAAATCTGGAAATAATCTCAAGAGGTCTTTAAACCCATCCACATACTTGGAGATTTTTAAGAGCAGGCTAAACAAATTTGACGAAGTTACCCAAGTCATTCGTCCCATAAGCAACCTCTTCCTCTGCTGAATTATTCTTACCATTGAAAAAAGCTTCCCTAACGTTTGGTCTAGGTCTCCCTAGCAGCAATATAAATGCATCACTTCTTGTCCTACTCCCTATGGAAAAGGGAAGAGGTTATATCCTTCCTGGCAGCAATTTTGCATTTGTTGGTTGCGCCGCTGGTTCCCTTTCCCTTCGTAACAGTTCCAGTGCTTCTAAACCTTCCTTTCGGGACATTTTTGCTAGGTGGTCTACTCATTCCCATCAAGGCCTCCAGACCTCCCTCTAAGAGGGGGGCTCTTTCTGGGAAGCCGTGCTCAAGGCGATGTGAGCCCCACAGCAGCCACCTGCCGCCCACCACCCACCCCTGCCACCCCGCATCCTCCTTCGCCTGCTCCCCTCCTGTGTTCCCACTTCCCCCGGTCCAGACTTGGCCACACAACACCACAGCCTCCTGTGCCCTCAGGCCCCATGGCCAGGGCGGCTCCCAGCCTGTCTCCCACC